CTACACTGAAGGCCTCACATCTGCCCTGAGGAAGGAACAGGGCCCTGGGTGGCCTCTTGTATAAAGTGGGCACAGAAGTAACGGCCCCTCCTCGGGGGGAGGCATGCGAGTCAGCAGGTCGGTGCTCAGTGAAGCCGGCTGTGCACGCCCTGGGCGTCCAGCAGGGAGACGAGTGTGACATGTTTGCCTCAGGCTTCGGTCCTGTCCCAGGAGCAGATAAAACCAAACCCAAAGAATGAGGCCAACACGTCCCTCCAAAGTGCCCCAAGGCAGCGCTGGCCACTGGGGTTCTTCTGCAGGGTTAGGCGCAAGGATCTTGGCCAGCAGGACCACCACCCGGGTGACACACAGCCAGGGCCAAAACTGGCCTCAGCCTCAGGCAAAGGACGTGAGCGCCCAGAGGCCTCTGTCTGTCAGGGTGGACGGGGCCTCCGGGAGGGCGTGCCCAGGGGCTGATCTGCTGCAGGAGGCTGCGTGGGTCATCTCCAGGCCCGGGACTCGCCACCGTGCCACGGTGCTGTGGAGGACGACCTGGGACGCGGGTCCCCGACATGTCTGCTGAGGAAGCACAGGAGGCGTCCTGGGCCTGGGCCTCCACACCTTCAGCTCCATTAGACACACGCGTCCCCGGGGCCGGCCAGCGCCCGTGGGCTCCGGGGACATGGAGGTTTCGGTCACGCCACGTCCTCCCCAACTGTTGTCTGGCATCTGTGCTCCCTCGGGTCCCTGCCCTTGGCCACAGGCTTCCCTGTACCCGTGGAGGCCAGGACAGAGGAGGAGCCCCCCGGCAGCCGTGGACACAATGGTCTGTCCTGTCTACCTAGCAGGCCTGTCCTCAGAAGGGCTGGGGAAAGTGGCCCTGGAGCGCCCTCCCCAGCTGCCCCTCTTGCCCGCTGTGTCACCACGAGTGACGTAATCCCCTCCCTGCGCCTCCATGGCCTTGGGGGCAGAGCGTGGGTGAGACCGCGTGCCTCCCGGCTGTCGTGGCCATCAGTGAGCGGAGGCCACACAGCCCTGGACGGAGGCGGGGACGCTGTGGGGGATCCACATCGGTGAGCCAGTCGAGAGCTGTCCCAAGGCACAGTGGGGCCTGTGTCCCCGAGGAGGGCTCAGGAGGCAGAAATGGGGCTGGGTCCACCTCACTGGTGAGCTCTGCGTGTCGGGGGTGTCCTCTCAGGGAGGGACGGGCATCAGCCTTTCCCAGGTGAGTCCGGGTGAAGGAGTTGGCTGTCCCCAGGGGCCTGTGTCCATCGCTGTGACCCCAACACCTGGCAGTAACAGTCTACAGGAGGAGAAGCTCACCTGGTTCATGGGTCCACAGGACTCAGGCGCTTCCTCTCCGGGAGATGTTCAGGGACACAGCACGGGGGACGCGACAGACGGGAAGGGAGCACCTGGGCTCTGGTCCACGCTCACCTGGTGGGTGGCCAAGGTGGCCAGTGCTGGTCCGCTCCGTCCTGAAATGGTGTCAGGGTGGTGGGCAGCTGAGGACACGATGGTACTGAGACGGGTGGAAGGCCCAGGACCCAGCCCGGGGAAAGCCCCAGCCCCTCCAGCACCGGTCCTTCCCAAAGTCATTGTCAACCTTCTGATCACATCAGGAGGAGGTTCCAGGGTGGTCCCAGGAGTCCTTAGCCACCAACATCTGTGACTCTTCCTTTGGGAAAAAGAGAAAGGGATCCGCCCAGGGCCCCAGAGCCTGCGTCTGCCCGGCACGTGACATGAGTGGGCACCTGCCCTGGCTGGGACCCCTTCTTCCTGGCCAGCCTCTGAGGGCTGTGGCCGGGCATCAGGGACGGGCGTGAGACTCTGTACCACCCTGAGGTGAAATCTGGCAGGGTCCCTTCAGCCCGGAACACCCACCACCAGCCTGGCGAGCCTGGGCCGTGGCCTGTGCACATGACCTGTGCAGCCGTGGTCTGTGCACCTGCGCCAGACACAGCAGTGCTCAGCGCGTGACAAAGGACACGGGTGCAAACTCACAGGACGGTGCGTGTTTAGATGGCTGCCTTATTACGGTTTAACCCCCACACCCGAAACCCACCCTTAAACAGTCCTCTCTCCCACCTCAGGCTGCGTGTCCTGTGCCAGCCTCAGAGGCCTTGGTAGAAGCACAAAGCTGGGCGGCCATCGCCACTACCTAGTTTCAGAGCCTCTCCATCCCCAGAGCGTGCCCCCCACCTGCCAGCGTCCCCATCCTGCAGCCCCAGGAACCCCAGGCCGCTCCGTCTCCATGGATGTGCTGACGCCCGCCCTGCATCCAGGTGGGTCGGACAAAATGCTGCTGGGTGTCCATCTTTAATTTCTTGGAATATTTTTAGGTTCGTCCATCCGGAAACAGGGATGACTTCGTTCCTTTTATGACTGGTGTTGCGCTGGGTGGGGAGAGCGTTTTGTTCATCCATTCAGCACGTGATGCTGTATTAAAGGAGACAGAGGCCGAGAGTTGGAGTCAGAGACAAGAGCAGACAGAGGGGCAGAGAGGGCCACCCTCCACACTCCTGTCCCTCTGGGTCTTTCCCTTCTCCTCTGCACCTCCCCCTCTCTCCCACCTCTCACAATCTTCTCTCATGTCCTGGCCACGAGTCCAAACCGAGCCCATGCCTGGGTCTCTGGAGAGGACCACCCTCAGGCCTCCTGCCAATCCCATCGGCCCTGTCATCAGGGGACAGGGAAAGGACACTGACAACCCAGAGGTAGCAGGGAGGGGCAGAGGCACATGCAGGGAGAAGAGTCACATCCACCACCCATGTGGCTCTCGCCTCTTGGGCCATATGCCACTGAAACAAGACTCATAAATATTTTGTACCAGAAACCATCTGCAGAGTTTAATAGCGAGGAGCCTGGTACAATTTGTGCCATAAGGTGTTTACTGAATATGTGTTAATTACGCCTGCATCAAAACAAATCTTGCTCTTTGCAAAAGGAGTGTGAAGTGGGGGTGGGGATACAATGGATTCCCCCCTTTATCTACACTCTCTGTGCTTCTAGATATGCAGTTGATTGCTATCAGAAAGAATCAAATGGAAAATCTCAGAAATAAACAATTCATGATTTTAAATTGCATGCAGATCTGAGCTGTGTGACGAGACGTCCTGCAGTTTCACTCCATCCTGCCTAGAATGTGAATCACCCCGTGTCCAGTGTCTCCATGCTGTATGCACTACCCACCCGTTAGTTGCCTAGTAGCCATCTTGGTTGATTGACTGTCTCAGTATTTTAGTGCTTGTGTTTAAATAGTCTTTATTTTTCTTAATAGTGTTTCCAAAGATGCAAGAGTGGTGATAACTTGATTACCTATGGGCGGTTAGAATTGCTCTATTCTATTGTTATTTATTGTTGTTAATCTCTTATTATGCCTCATGTATAAATCAAACTCTCTCAGAGGTAGGTACATAGGAAAACCAGGGTACGCCTAAGGTTTGGTACTGTCTGTGGTTCAGGCATCCCCTGGGGTCTGTACCCCCACAGATGGGGGATGTTCCAAAGCCTCCTTTGCAGCTAGGTGCCGCTGTGCCACAGATTCCACCAGCACATGTGGTGGGGAGGTGCCAGCCTGGCCCAGAGAAACCCCCAAGGTGGGGGGCTCCTTGTGCCTCCTCCTCCCTCCACCAGCAGAATCAGAGCAGCTGGTGGAATCTGCAGCCTGCGAGGTGGTGGGGACGAAAGAAGGGAGGAGCTTGGGTCCCCGAGTCACCACGTGGAAGGTGGCACCTGACAGCAGTAGGAGCTGGGAATACACCCCCAACCCTGGGCACAACCCCCCGGGGGGCTCCTCGCAGCCTCCGGCCCCTGTGAGGTCAGCCAGCTCTGTCTTAAACCGCTTTCCCCGCTGGACGAGGATTCCACAAAGACGGGGAGACCTTGCTGTTTACGCCTCTGTGTCCGGGAACCCAGCGCCACCCGCGCCTAGAGCAGCGGCTTCAGAAGTGTTCACTGTGAGACCCCAACGCTTCCCAGAGCCGAGGCAGAGAGCAGAGGAGGGACGGGAAAGCAGAAGAGCTGTGCGGAGAAGCCACCGGCGTCACCGCCGGCCACCACGCTCCACTGCCCACAGAGTCCTCATCCAGAGGGCCCGGGAGCTGTGGCAGGTACTACCCCAGCGTCTGGGAGGGGGGCCAGCCCCGGGAGTGCTCTGTGCGGCAGGCTGCTGTGGTCGGACTCCTCTGAGCAGAGACCTGCTGCTCCCTGTCCCCGTGGAGGGCGACGAGAGGTGTCCCTGAGAGCCCAGGTTCTGATGCGGGGTCCTCAGGAGGCACAGGCTGCTGTGGCCCTTTATTTCCTCCGGACAAGGAGCCTGCCAGGGACAGACGGAGGGCCTGAGCCGATCGGGCACAGGCAGAGGAAGGCACAGGGCCTGTGTGGGCCCCTGTCCTGTCTGGAGGAATGGGGTGAAGGAAGGGTCTGAGGAAGGGTCTCCACGTGAGAGGTCTGGCCCACTAGTTTCTTCATTCCTCTCAGCCTGACGCCTGGGTCACAGGTGGTCACAGGTGGATCCAATCTGTGCGATGCCAAGCTTTTGGTAGGGACTTTTGTTAGAGGTGCTTCTGTGTGGTAGGGTTCAACCTGGAGATGTTCAAGGGCAGAGCCTGCCAGACATGAAGCCAACACAGAGGCAAGTCAAGAGCTGGAGGACTTCCTGCACCACCATTTGAGTCCCTGGATCTAGCTGTGCCTGAAGCTGTCCCCTTGTTGTTGTTATTTGAGCCAATAGTTCCCTGTTCATAACTTAGGTCAGTTTGAGATGGAATTCTGTCACTTCCATCTTAACAAACCTCACCTTATTTTTTTTTTTATGTTTATCATCACTGGTGAGAGGTCAGCCTAACTGGAAAAGATAGCTAAGGAGGGACATTGGGGGATTCCAGGGACAATTGTATCAAATTACTAGGATTCAGCCATGCCTGTTGAGAGACCCCTTGTCGAGGCCCCATTTCTAGGAACACTCCTACTTACTTTGCCTGGTGCTCCCTCTGTGCTGGACACGGGCGTGGTGTGTTTGTCCTTAGGTCCCCTGCCTGTCCTTATGCTCTGCTCTAGGTCACAGGGGCCTGACTCTGCTTCTCCAGGGGTCCTGTCTTGGGGCGCTGGGCCAGGCTCGGCCAGTGGAAGGTCCTGTCTGGACACGGGAGGTGGAGAGGAGGGTGCTCCTCACTGTCTCTCCCTGGCAGGGCCACCCTGGGCCTGTCTGTGGCTCTGGCTCGCCCCGAGGTCTCAGGCCAAGCCCCGCCCCACCCACCGCCTGCCGCCACCTGATGACGAATGACTTTCTTCGCTGCAGCTCACTGTGGCCAGCAGAAAACAGGAAGCCCGTTTCAGAGCTGTGTTTTGAAGCTGAACTTGCTGCAGACGGAGCCAAGCAAGTTTCCACCCCCTGAAAGCAGACAGGCTCCTGTCCTGTCCTCCGGGACCCGAGACCCGCCATTACCTGCTAAATGGAAAAGCGTCTACGACTGCGGCGCCCTCCTGGTTGTTGGAACGAGGCCTGTTGGGAGGACTCTCCAGGGCAAGGGCTCCAGTTTGGGGTGATCTCCAGGTGACAGATCAGTCACATCTGGATACTGGGGGGCCGGGCACAAGCCAATAGCTAAGCTGTGGTTAGTTCCCTGTCTCCGCAAGAAACTCAGAATCACCCACCCACCTCCTGCGGGGAGGGTGACGTATAAACCAGACTCATGATTTTCAGTCCAGAACAGTCAACAGATACGGGTGGTGTATCCCGTACTTTTTACGACCCTAGTGAAGTGGGTGGGCATTCACTGCCTTCCTCTGTAACCGTGACCAGGGCCCGGGAGAAAAGGAGGGAGGGGGGAGGAGAAGGGAGGGGGATGGCAAGGTCAGCCAGGCCCGGGCCCTGAGACCCGGGGAGGGGGTGTGGTTTAGGGTTCAGGAGGAGCCTGTCACCCTGTGTCCTTAGAAGGCAGTTGTCCCTCACCTGTCTGCAGGGCACAGGGGGCCAAGCTAAGGCCTGGCAGGCTCCTCCCTTCTGCCCCCAGCCCCGGCCTTCCCTGTCCCCAGCGGGCACAAGCCTTGCCCTCCATCTTGCCTGTGCTGGGCCAAGTGGGGGACAGCTGGGAACCACTGTGAGGAGCGCTTTATGACCAGGTGCCCAATTGGGCGGCCGCTGCCTGCCCCGTCCTCCCCCTGAGCCTTAGCAGCAGGATTCAGGGTCGAGGGTCTCGTGTGACCTTCGTGTGACCTTCGAAGATGGGATTCATTTCCAAGCCCCACCTGCAGCTCCCCGGCAGGACGGGAGGAAGGAGGCCGCGGCTGTGCCTCGCACTCTGGCCTCAGGGCCCAGGAGGCTCCGCTCACACCCCAGCAGCAGGCTGGGGCCCTGGCCCCCGCCCGGCGGCCAGCTGGTGCTGTGGTGTGACCTGATAAATCAGTCAGTAAGAGTGTGAGTCACAGGTATGGACCAGTAAAGAATAGCTCAGAGATACAAGACCTTGATAAGTGAGAGAAGACCAATAAGCAAGAACTGCCACAATCAGGCCAAAGACTCCATTTTGCTGCCTTCTATAAAAAAAAAACAACGGTTACAAGCGCTGTTTCTGAGAAGCTGAAATGAAAGCTGTTTTCTGTACTTTGTACCCCACAGGATGTACCCCACAGGATGTGGTGGTCTTGGTGACCCAAGGCTTTGAAGTAGATTCTCGCCCCTGCGGACCACCTGCTCGGACTCAGGATACGGTGTCCCACCTGCTCAGACCCTAGATGCGACGTCTGAGTTGCTGGGCTGGTTGCCGCCTTAGCTTCCACGACTGGCTTGCTCGCATGACACCAAGGAAAGTCCCCGAGCTGTGATTTTCGTCCTTGATTCCCAAGACCCAGCCCAGGAAGTCGCTGGTCTCCCCCCGGAGCTCCAGTCTCTGGGGTGGGTGACGGCACCCGGCCAGGAAACAAAGCGTCTTTGATCTGAACTTGGATTTAGAGTGTTTCTGAAGCGGGTCCCTAACACTGGCCACCACTCGGGTGTTCCTGGGCCCCTCGGGGGCTACGACCCACCGGAACGGGAACACGTGAGTGCACCTGGAAAGCGGTCCAGCCAGTCCCGTGGTTGAACTTGAACGTGGGGCTGGACCTGTGGTCACTCTTCTCAGGACGCGATCGAGTTCTTCAAATAAATACTGTGAATCTTCTCTTCGATTTCAGGCTACAGTTCTGAGTGATAATTTTTATCATGTCTTTCTTTCTCGCCTGCTTTGTCCCCTGACCCTCCCTTTCCCAGTCTCTGCCCTGCCTCCTGCAGCTCTGAACCTCCGTTTGCTCATGACCCTCCTGCCTCCTCGCTTTCTTCAAACGGGCCTCGCGCAGCCTGTCTGGACCTGGCTCTGAGGACAGACGGTCAGGGTGAAGGTCAGGGCCCTTCCTCTCGCCCTGTCCCTCCCCTCTGCCCCCCCACCCCGTCTGGGCACATGGCCCCCCTGCCCTGCACTCAGTGGGGACTTCAGTGGGGACTTCAGCTCTCCGTCCCTCCATCCCACCCTCTTTGCCTCCAGCCTCGCCCAGGGCCTCAGTGTCCACAGGTTCAACTCCTGGCTGGGTCACTGACGAGCCCCTGGCCTGGGTGGGGCTCCCCCTTTGCCCGTGCCTCTGGTCCCCCTCTGTAGGACAGGACTAGCCGAGGTCCTGACAGAGAGGGCACAATGACTGATTCCAACAAATGCTTTGGATGGGGCTGGGCAGCTCGCTCTCCCCGTGTCCTGACGTCCTGAGGCCACCCAGCTCGAAGACCACCCAGCTCGCCGCCAGCCCCTGGGGAGAAGCAGCCATTCGTAATGACGGGCGGGGGCAGTGGTGCTCCGGCAGGGGGCCCAGCGATCACCGAGAGTCTCACCCCCACAGATGCCATGCCACCTCCTTCCCACACCTGGCCACCCAGCCCTGCCCTGCCCAGGGCCTGCCACCCTCTGGGCACCTCCCCTGCCCGCCCGGTTCTGCCTCTGCGTTCACATCTCCCACCAGCCACTGGCTGAAGCCCCCGTCCTCCCTCCAGACTGATTTGGCACCAGCAAGCAGGGCCCTGGGCGGGACCTCATGGGTCACTCAGAGATGATTCACCGGCTCCATTCAAGAGCCGCGTAAAAAGCAGCCTCACTTCCTTCCAATAGGATAAACTGCCGTTGGTCACCCCAGCCCCTGTCCTGAGTGACCGCCTGGCTCTACCTCCCACAGCGCTGTATGTCACTGGATTTGGGCTGCTCCTGTGGGTGGAGGGACGGGTCTGTCCCGAGCCTCGGCCTCCTCTGGATGCAGCACAGACGCCGTGGCTTCACCCCGTCCCCCCGCTTTCCTTCCTGTGGCTGGGCCGGGGCCTCCCCAACTCAAAGTCCATTCCCGGGGAGTCAACAGGGCAGAAGGTCCCCTGCACCCCTGAGCCGTACCACGCCATCTTGAATTTACTGACTGGGGGAAGAGCGAGGCCACCATCGGGTGGACAGCAGCCCGGTCTAGGTAATGATCCCCATCACAGCTCATCAGAAAACAGACTGAGATTCCACGTTGGAGCCATGGAGGTTTCCTCCTGCGTGTTTTATGTGAACAAGTTCATTTGTTCATTCAATGAATCCACAGCGCTTCAAAGGCCCCGTTTATAGTAAAAGAAAGAAGCAAAAAGATTTGGGTTGGCGGGCGGCCAGCTCTCCACCTCCAGAGCTGTCAGGCTGGGGAGCAGCATTCCAGGAGCTCGGATGTGTACGTCGAGATGGCGCTCCAGCCCAGAGCAAAATATTGGTTTTGGATGCAACGGTCAGGAATGTGCGCCATGGACTCCATCGTCAGAGACAAGAGGCCAGTGTTGTGAAAAGGGCAGGACGGGGCTGGTGACAGACCTCAGACCTCGGGCAGGCCTGACGGCTTGCAGTTCTTAGGTCTAGGGAGCACACTTGACATTTGATGACTTTAAAGCAACAAAGAAGAGCAAGTGCCCAAGCTCAGGACCTCAACGCCCAATGGTTTCGGGTCTATGTCCAAGAAGCTGAAGAAAAAAATATCTGCCCACCAAAGACTTGAAAATCAGGTCTTTTCCAGGGTCAGTGTTTCCTACTTACTGTTTGAAAGATCATGTGTTAAATAGTAACATTAAAGGGGGGGGGGGTTTCTTATGCAGGTTGTATCAATCAGGATTCTTGCAAATGACAGGAAACCCATGTAAAGTTGGATTAAGCAAACCAAGGATCTGAGCAGGTTGGGGACTTCAGCTTCAGGTATGGCTGGATCCAGGAACTAAAAGGATGACACCATATGGTTCTCTTTGTCCATCTTTCAACTCTGCCTCCATCTGGTTTCATTACCTTGTAGAGCAGATGTTGTTCACTATAGTAAGGTGGCCACCAGATGCTCTAACTCAACACTAACTTCTCAGCCACAGTCGTCTTCAGCTGACAGCTGAGACGTGGTCTTTGTTAACTTTAATTGGGTCAGGTGCCCATATTTTAGGCAATCGCTATGGTTAGGGGATTCAGACTTCTGATTGGCCAGGTCCAGGCCGCATGCTCATCTCTGAACCGGCAAAACTGCAGGGACAGAGAGCAGGGGAGGGTTTTCCTCACCAAGGAAAAGGGGATTCATTACAAGAAGGAAGGCAAGTGGATTTGGGGCAAGGAAACCTGGTCTGCAAAACAAGTCACAGCAGAGAGAAACAGAAGGAGGCGGCCGTGTTTGGCTTGAGCAGGCTCACAGTTCCCGGAGCCCGGAATCCTAGAGCTGGGAGCATCCTCCTTCCAGGATCTGCAGCAATAGTTTCCAAACATATTTTAAAGCAACAGATCTCTTTTGTCAAATAAAATCCGAATGAAAACCGGCCAGGGCCAGCCATTAGGTTGAGCAAGGGAAGAAGGAGGGGAAGGGCCAGCATCCTGTCCTCTGCTTCTCCCCAGTCTAGCACTCAGCTCCTCCTTGGAATTGAAGGAAAGTCATTGGAAAACTTCTGGACGGTGACCTGGGGCTGGGTGGAGGCTGCAGTAGGACAGCCTCCACTCCCCCAGGGAAGGCTCCTCCCAAGTCAGTTCTCCTGGGCCCCCGTTGGTTTTCCAGGAGAAAGCCCTGGGGTCCTGTTAACTTGTCTTAATCAATTTCCTAGTTTTTGCTAATGCTCATTGGGAAAATAAGAGGTCACTTCAGGCTCAGCGTGCCCTGTGGGCGACAGTGACAGGCTCAACTGACTATGTTTCATTTTCATTGGTTTTGTTTTTACTCTTTTGATCTATTGAGAGAAATGATTCTGATTTTTCTATGTTATAATGGTGACATTTGTGTGTCTTCCTTTCGAGTTGAAATTTTTTATTGTGGTAAAATCTATACGTGTGATTTGCCATTGTGACCATTTCTCGGTGGAGAGTTTGGGGGCAGCCCGGGGACCATCCACCAACCACACCAGCACTGTTTTTAACTCCCAGGCTGCAACTGTGCCCCGTTACATGGGGACTCCTCGTTGCCCCTCCCCTGGTCCCTGGCAAGTGGATATTTCTTTTAAATACATGTGATATCAGGAAAACACATACAGGGACGCAAATAAAAAGTCCGGAGTCCGGCTGGCTGCAAAATAACCGGGGGGGGGGGGGGGGGGGTGACGAACAACTTGTGTAGATTGATACAGCAGGAGTAGGAGCCGTTTATTGCAGGACAGGAGCAGTATTTATACATTCCACAGAGCTTATCTAATTAGCATAAACTAGATACATCAGTCAACCAATAAGGAATCTCTACACTTAATGGCTCGCTTTTGTTACTTCTCAAACCACTCCCTCTGGCATTTTGCCAGGCACCATCCAGACTTGTTTACAGACTCTAACAGTATCCAATGAATCAAAGCACGGCAGGTGCACAGGGTAAGGACGAAGTTACTCACGAGCAAGGTCTGGGAAACAAGGGTGGTAAACTCCTCCCACCACCCCTGCAGGCTCAACCCGAGTGGGGACCTGGGGAAGGGCGGGCAAAGTTCCTGCTGCGCAAGGTGGCCTTTTTCTCTAAGGACAGGGCCTTCCTGCCTCAATCTCAAACCCAGGTCTGGGGACTGGCGCTGCCCATTCTCCTTTCACACCGTGGGGACTCGATCTTCGAATCTGGCCAGGGTCCCCCTTCTCAGCGACAGGTAAGGGCCCAAGGGTCCAAGGGCACTTGATGGGACGAAGAGCCTGTTGACTCCCTCGGTGCCCCCAGCGCCTGCCTTCTGCGCACGCCTAGGAAACGCGCCTTCTGACTGTCACTCAGATTGATTGGCAAGGGTGACTCCACACCAGGACCCAGAACCAGCCAATCAGCGCAATCCGTGTGGCTCACCCCCAAGGCGGAAGGAGGGCAGCCTCCCCTGCCACCTCTGGGTGTAGCCCAGGGGCTTGTCGCCTTCGTGACCAATGGTTGTCCACTCTGGAAACACGGCTGCGTCCACGGATCAGGCCCCGCCATCATTCCCAGCAGCAGCTTGGCCAGGCTTGACCTAGGTGGTGGCCAGCTCTCTGTGTGGCCGAGTCACTAACTCACTCAGCCTCCGGAACAGCCCTGGAGGCACACCCGAGGACTCGATTTCCAGAGGCACAGAGGGGCAGAGTGACCTTCCCGGGGTTCCACCGGCAAGGGCCTGAGCCAGGGCCCCTCGGGCAGCCGTCGGGGATCGCGCCTGGCACCACCAAGGCCTGGTGCTGAGAGCCCCCTGCGGCAGGGCGGAGCAGGGGCCAGCCCCGTGGAGGGCCAGCAGGGTCGTCTGCCTGTCCTAATCAGCGCATGCTATCACCCCGGCTTGGCCAGGCGGCTCAAATCGAATGGCTTTGATCCTGAACTTTTTTTTTTTTCCTTTTGAAGCCTCTGAAGGACTTGGAGTCCTTCGTGAGGTCTAGGTGCCGCCCCAGGTGCCACCTCTCCTGTCCCATTGTCTGTCCCACAGGGCTGCTGTCAAACACCCAGGTAAGTTCCATCCCTCCCTTTGTGGAAATAGGGAAAAATTAAGGTTGTGAACTAGAAAACTCAAGCCAAGGGGCCCGTGAGGCCCCAGACGCAGAAGGACTGTTCCCAGGAGGGAGCAGGGCCCTGCTCTGAGATAACATCGCTCTGCCTGCACACGCAGGGGTCGGGGACGGCACTCACAGCTCTAATCTGGAGCCACGCTCTACTTAATGAGTAATTGCAGCACCACGTACCGGTTGAGGCCT